TATATATATATATATACATACATATATGTATATATATATGAATGAAGTAGATTGTATGATAGGTTTACCAAGCTTTTTTGTTGGTGTTTCTCAATTTTTATTTGAACTGAAATTCGGGTAATTTGATCTTGACTTTAGAATATCAAAATGGAAGCAAAAAAAGGGAGAAATATTTTCTTTTCATGATGTGTAATGTCAGTTGTTGTATTTATCAGTTGCTATCATTACGATCAAATGATGTGACATATTGCTGATTACATCGTGTTAGGATGAATGTTTTTAGATTTTCACTGTTTGCTTATATAATTAACAAATACTGAAAATTTAAAAAGGAAGAAAAAACTAATGAATGTAGACAAGGAATTTTTTTCCCCTCTATAGTAATATGGCAGGATAAATTAAGATTTATTTCTGGATGGTAATTATTTGTGCATAAGTTTGAAATAGAAAATGATGATGAATTAATGAAACGACTTACATACTTCCTATCATTGTCATGTTGTTTATCATTTAAGAGGAAAATGATAATGATTTGTTCCACGAATTTTTGATATTCTTATTTTAGTCTGAAGAACACAAATAACAAATTCAAAGTGCTAATTGGACAACTTTATAAACAACGAAAAGCATCGCATAGTAATAAATATTTTTTTACCTATTTCATCGTCATTATTTTCCTCTTATTTTGTTTGTTTAATTCTCCTTTTGTCTATTTGCAAAAAATACTTCATAGATATTTATATGATGGATTAAATTTGGAATTGTAATACTTTGGAATTTCAATTTTTCCTAAAAACATTCCTCAAACATATTATCAGTACTTATTACGGTAACTTTAACTATATGTTTACCATTTTCTCGTGTAATTATGCCGTGTTTATTGACTGATATTTAAAGCTGTTTTTCAATTCTCGCATTTAGGAATACAACTCAAACTTCTGAAACAAGTTTGTCTTCCTTTTCTGGACTACACTGACATCCCCATAAGTTTGTTCTGATTGTACTGAAGATTGATATTTGTGATCAGGTTGCAATAAGCTTTTAGCTCATGTTTACTTGAACAATAGTAACAAGTAATATTGAAAAGAAAAATCTGAGATGAAAAACTGAAAATCAAAAATTCAAATTCACATCGGAATCAGTTCCGGAAAAGCTTCTATTGATTAATTGTTCCTTTTTACACTGGCTTTTTTAACATTTCACTGTCAGCTGTACCAGTCATTTTTAGATCTTTAATCCTCTCTTGTTCAAACTTCTATGTTTATTTGTATTACTATGAATCATTCGGTTCATCTTATTCTCACTCTGGTATTATACTATTTGTGGTGCTTATATAACTTAAGCTAAGTTATTCTTCATTATCTTTCATCCTTAACAATTTAGATTTTTTGATCTGAATATATTACATGCACATTGTCTTCTTCGATCTATCAAATTCCTTAATATTAAATATGCGCAAGTAATTTATTAAACATGCTGTTACTGTTGCCTACCTTTACTTTCATTATTTATGCAACCTTTTTGATAGTGAAGTTTATTTTAAAGGTTATGTAATTTACAAATTATTTCACTTGAAATTCGTGCTTTATCATTATATTTTGCTTAAATTTTTATTGATTTGCTGAGGATTCATCGGTTTTTCGCATTTGACTGGTAACTTCTATTTAATACTGCTTTCTACAATTCCAGTCCAGTGTTAGACTCGTTGAAAGAGTTAAACAGTGTATTTAGCAAAATGATATGATTGAAAATGATAAGTAAACATAAACAAATAATAAATATACAGTCACAGTTACTGCCATATATATCGAAAGGTGAATAATTTACGCAACTCATAAGTGATAGCTTAAAAAATATCATTTACTTTTTGATTTTCTATTAAATTAAAAAATAACGGCAATGAAATGTGAATGGAATTCCGAAATGGAACTTTTAAAAGTTTTTATCTTTCCTCACTGCTTTCTTTTTGCCATCATTACTTTTAACCTTAGCCTTAAAAAAAAGGGAATTCAAGAAAACATTTGCCTCTTTTTTTTGTTAAAAGCGATTTTCTATTTGTCGTTTTTTTAATTTTATCAATTTCTAGTGCTTGTATCTTTAATACTTTTTCTTTTTCCTTATTTTCAATGTTAATACTCCAAAACTCAGCTATTTTTTTCCATATATTTTGGTATGTTAATGAAACTTTTCTTCCGCCAAATCTTTTGTTGGCTTGGATTCATATCTAATTGCCAGAAAAAAAGGAACTTGGAAATTGGGAATTGACTCATATCTAATTGTCAGAAAAAAAAGGAACTTTACGAAACTTTTAAAAACTTTCAATAAATGTAGTAATGAGTATTATAAATTAGACTTGTAACAATAAAAATGGCTAAGGGGCAAAGTTATTTTGGCCGAAGTATCCGACGGAAAATAGAATAAAAAACTAATTGAAGTTTTATGAAAATTTTTTTAAAAAAAGAAAAGAAGTAAAAAAACAATGAGTTATGAAGGAGCAAAAGAAAGAAATAGAAATAAGATTATACCAAGTGGCTTTCAAGTTTTCTCACATTATTACTCAACTTCTCAATCATCCTCTCTTCACTTCACAATCTCTTGCTTTCATTTCTCCCTTTTATAGTCTATAATCTTGTGTAGTCAAGCCTAGTTATGAAGCTGGCCTGGTAATCATCATCAGGACAATAATCGATGCGTTGCTTGTAATTTTAAGTATTCATGTTAAATTGATGTCTTTCTCTTTTCTCTCGTCCATTTATTTTTTCTTTCTATTCTCTACTTTGCTTATCTTTTCTTTCCTTTTTTTTCTACTTCTTTATCCCTGCTTTTCATATCCTTCAAATATTTTCCCAATCTTTGTCATTATTTTAGGCCTTTCCACGTATTGTGATCTTGAAATCTTTTTTACACAAGAAATTATTACATTTCCCTTTATCACAATATTTTTTCTTTTTGTCCGTATCTTAGAAAGAGGATAAAATAGTGACTTTTTTTCATCTTCTCCCCCACTTTATCATATGTTCCAGAATGATGTTTACTAAAAAGGAAACGAATAGAGAAGAGAATTGGGCTCTCATTTTGATTACCTCATTTACTTGTTTACTTCCATACTTTGTTATGTGCACTGTTTCTTGGAGTATTTTACCTCTTCCTCCCATTTTTCTTTTTTTTTTTGCAGTTTTTTTTTCTTAATTTAATCTTTCTGTTTTATATACGCTTTTCTTTAATTTAGTATATTCCACCATTGTTTTGTGATTGTTTATTCATTTTTCATATTTTAATTTTAGTTTCTTTCACTATTATAGCATTTTTCATATATTTATTGCTAAACGAACGAAGTTATGTTTCTTCATATTTTACATTGAAAAATCATATTTAATTGAATTGCTGTAGAATAATTAATGGAAATAGTCATTTTTGAATGTGAAAGGAAAGGAATAAAATAATTGTTATGCCTTAATATTGGATTTAACATGAAATCTATAAAGAAATAGGTTTGTACAAGTAGGAGCTTATTCCTCAAGTAACTTTATAGTTAAAAGTGTTATTTGTATAAGTTCGAAATAATTCTGAAAATTTTTCACTTTTATTTTCCAGGATTTGGTAGAATCAGATTTAACGGTTGTTAGTACAACATCAACGGGAGGAGCTCATAGTGTTTTGTCATCGTGTGACGATCAAACAAATTTGACAACTGAACACGGAGAAGCATCAACCGCTGGAGGATTACTTTCGGTGAATCCTCCACTAATTGATCCAACAGTTGAGTCAACAGCATCATTCTCCGATCAGGCCGAATTTGAATTACCGCCACCAATGAGTGAATTGAGCAGCGCCGTAGCTGATGCTGCTGCATCTCGAAATACATCGGTAAGTGTTTTTTAAGAAAATTTTTTCTCTCTTTGTAAATTTAATTTCGTTTTAATTTTTTTTTGCATTTTGATTTACTTCGTTTCTCTTTAATTTGATCACTTTACGGTGTTTCTTATCCACTTCAATTTCACATTTCACTTTATATTCAATTTTTATTCCAGTTTATATTCCATTTTCATATTTCAGTTTATTTTCTTTCCTGTAAATACAATTCTACATTCTTTTTTATAATTTTATTCTAATTTGATTGACGTAACAATACGCTTAAAATTTCTAGTATTTCTGTCGTAAAAATTGTATTCGGCTTATATTCTTTCATTAATAAAAAATATGCTATATTGAAGAATGACTGGTATTCATTGTTTATAATGAGATGATATTATGGATTCAGTATTGTTAAAGTCAGCGTGAGACAAAAAAGAGGATCTACTAATCAATTAATTTAAGAAGGGGAATACGTTGGAAAATGCATTAATATATTAATTGTGATCATCACATTAATCGATAGTTGATTTTATAATGAATGACTGGTTATCTAGGCCCTACCCACATCGATTTTATACAGTCTGATTTTCTTTACTCCTCAGCTCAATTTTAATTAACCTTATTCTAAATCTTTTTGTCTCGTCCAAAATTTAAAATGAAGATGAAATGGCAGCAGCACAATCGATCGAGTCTAAATATGTTCCTAAATTGATCTGATCTAAAGTTTTAAAAACATTCGAAATTTTCTTATTTTCTGCTGAGTTTTCAGCATAATTCAGCTAATTGTTTCTACACTTTTCTCATTAAAGTAATTTTAGGTTGGGTTGAGTTGGTGACAATTTTTTCTCCATTTAGTATGGTATATCTTCAAGAAGTACTTGGTAGCATGATTGATGACACCATTAGTTTAGGAATAAGGTTTATTGATACGAAAATAAACTATTCTATTGCTAAACTATTCTGCTTTCTTCGTTTGACAGGTATGTCTATTGAGAAATGAAGACAATTCAAACTTTCATTGATTTTTTACGAAATCGGTGATCTGGAATCTAGCTTTTGGTTAATTCGGTAGGCTGCAATCGGTTGTTGTTGAATTATCAATTATCCAGTTTATGACGAATTATCCAGTTATCCAATTATTGGTTTATGACGTTTGTGACGATTTATGACGATTTTGCATCATCAGTAGTAATTGTTAATGACGTCATTCATTATCTTTTTCTTCTTTGCTAATAACCGCTTTATTCATTTTTAGATTATTATTTAAGGCGGTAATAACGGATTGTTGGTAGGAAATATTTGAAGTAATTCATGTAAAAGTAAAAATTTTTCTATATTATTAATTTGGCAAATGAAGAAAAATTTTGCAGTGGTTTTTTTAGATAATTGAGAGAAGGAAATCTATCTAGGAGAAAGGGGGAAAGAGAAAAAGAAGTGGAGATTTTAAGTAAGGGTAAATTTTGTGAAATGACAAATGATAATGGGACTAGATTGCGTAAATTGCTGATTGCAGTAATGTAATTTCTACGCATCTCCGTAAATATTTTATAATATTTTCAGCTAGAAATAGGTTAGCGTAAAGAGGTGCGAATGATGTTATGTATATTGGTGAGAATGATGAACTTATACTATTTGAAAGAGTATATGTAAAGAGATTCAAAAACAAGATTGACTCATTCAGATAAGATCGAATCATACAGCAGCAGCAGCAGCAACGGCAGCAACAGCAGCAGCAATAGTAGCAGTAGCTAAATCTAAACTAATGATAAGTTAAACTGATTGGATGATGAAAGGCAAAAAAGAAAAAAAGAGACGAAAAGAAAGAGAGATAGATAAAATCCCAAGAGTATTTTGAACCATATTCTGAAACTCTCTACATGATGCATACATACATGTGAAATTATGGAGTAAAATTATTCAAAAATGGATTGGCTTAGAGTTAGAAATAGATTAGGATAATACGGCGTATTACATATGAAATTTTAAGATAAATAGATTGATTCATATGAGCAATATGTAAGAGGAAGGGATTGGATGTATCTTATACAAAGCTCTTTGTCAATTTAGTTCGTTCAAAATTCAAACTAAACATTATTGCTTTTTTAATTTAGAAGTTTTTGCTGTTATGAAAAAAAGAAATAAACTGTTTGATATGCACAAATTATTCAATTTATATTTAATAAAAATGAGAAAAACACTTTTTATTAACGTTTTCCTGTATTTTAATATTGTTCTTCATTTTCGTTGGGATTTCAAAAATAAAGAAAAAAATTGACTGGATTTCTGTTTATTCACATTGCGGGGAAGTTTGTTGCTAAAATATAATTTAAAATTTTAGAACGTATAAGAAATAGCAAGCAAGTATTCTATGTGTAATGAGATATTATGGTTGCAAAAATGAAATCGTTTGAAATTTCAATCTAAGGGATTTCCTTTTTTTTCTATTCAAAAATTTTCCTAATGATTTGGTAGGAAAATGTAAATGTTCGCTTATAATGTATTATTGGTTGAATATTGATCTTTTGTGCAATTTTAAATTATCAATTTAATTCGAAATGATTGAATTAATTAGGATATAACTTAGCGGGTAATGTCTTAAGCGATTTTTCGAAAATTTCAATCGTGATAAACGGTCCGTATTCATTATGTGATTGATATTCAAATCAGTTGATAGATGAGGGAGGTTTTTTAGCATTTATAGGTAGTACTTAACATATTGATAGGAAAAATTAAATGTTATTGTTTTGTAATTATTGAAAGTGATCGATTTTTACCGTTTGATGAATGATTGTTAGATAATAGGTATGTGGTAAGAAATTGTTATAGAGAGAAGAATAGGGATGGAAGAGTAGAAGTTAAAGTGTTGTCATGTGTTTACCTTAGTTATATTAAGTACATAATTATTTAGTTCCTAAAATATTAACAGCATTATTTTTCGTTTTACCTGTCAATATTCACGAACTCCTATACTCCGTGTTATACTCCGTGCTTTAATTTTTGATCAAATTATACATGTAGTGGCAAGTAAAGTAAACAAGGAAGGTAAGATGATAGAAACCAGAGTAGCAGTTTTTTCTACAAACTTTTTTTTTATTATATTTTATAAAAATTTTTCATTGAAAGCCGGTAAAAAGAGGGCGGAGGAAGAAAGGAAGAGAAAGAAGGAAGGAAAAGAAATAAAATCGAACAGTTGTTGATTACTTAGAGAAGTAGTAATAATGTTGAGATAAGAAAGGATAAATGCTTATTCCCAGAGATTCCTTCTCCTTATTTTTATTTTTATTATCATTACTTTTATCCCATTCCTCTCTCTTTCTTTTTCATTTCTTTTTTCCCCGATGTTTTCTGTTTCTGAAGTTTATTTTTCTACCATCTTCTCCATCTTCCCCTCTATTTCCCCCTTTTTTTTCCTGTATCAGAATGATATTTTAGATGAAATACAAACAGAAGAGGAAAAAAAAGTAAACAATTAAAAAACTTATTTTTTTCATTGATGAAAACTATTGTGATGACTTTTTTTCTCTTTTTTCCCAATTTTTAACGATATCAACAATTGTCATTTGAATTTATAGGGGAGAAAGCAAGACAATTTGGATTTTTTGAAAAAAAAATGAAAAGTGTACCTGAGTTGTTAAAGCAAAATCAAACGAAATTATCACAAGAAAACTCAGTGTGATTTCTTGTTCATGAAATTTTTTTATGCAGTCTTTTGGATGGATTATGGAAGAGTTATATGAAAGATCCATTTTTCAAGTTTTAACAAGTTTCACGATTTTTTTGTCTCCTACTTTTTCGAAATTTACTTGAATATACTTAGTATATTTAAAAATCCAATGTTTGGTGACATATAATTGTATATGTTTCGTATAATTAGTTTGATAAAATGAGTTTTGACATATTATATAACTATCTGTAAACGTAACTGTATAATTTTGAAACATCATTTTAGAATTCTTTTTTTTAAGAAAAAAATGCCTAAATTTTAAAATTGCTAGTTGGTTTCAAATGCTAAACATTACAGATGGAAGAACAACACGCAAGCGATCTCTTAGTTTTGTGCAATGAAAAAACGGAAGATCAAAATGGTGCTTCGGAGAAGGAAGAAAAAAATCCTCAAGACATTGCAAGGCAAAAGCGAAGGTTCGTTTTTTAAATTTATTTAATTTTGAATTTGATAATCATAATTGTTGTTAGCAAACTCTTGGTAATTCTAAATTGGATGCATGGTAATTTTATATCTGTGACCGTTGTAGTTTGGCTAATAGTTGTCATTGACAATGATTGTTATTAACTGATTATTAATGTTACTTATGATTGAATGTAGAATAGTTCTATGATTATCGTTATCTTAATTTAGTGATCGAATATCATTAAACTGGACTATGATTTGAATATTTGCTCATACTCTTAGAGATTCATATTTCTTTTTTAATTTCAGATATGTGCTAATGGAATTGGTCGATACAGAACGGGATTATGTAAAAGATTTGACTTCAGTAGTAGATGGGTATATGGCAAATTTGCAAACGATGGAATTGCCGGAGGATTTGGTTGGCAAAGATAAAATCATTTTTGCAAATATCGCTCAGATTCTTGATTTTCATAAGACGTAATATATTATTTTATTTTATTTTTACTGATTACTTTAGTTTATTTATTACTTTGTCCACTTGTTTTTCGTTATGTCAGGTCTTTTATCGACACTACTTTTCAGTTATCTACGTAATTTTATTTTGCAGGTTATTTTTAAAAGAAATTGAAAAGTGCCTTGAAGATTATGAAGCTGCGGGTAATGCCTTTGTTAAATACGTAAGTCTATCACTTTGTGTTTTTCGTTCTAAGTGGGATTTTCAATTCATTCAGGTATCCTTCACCATCTGTGATGGGAGCATTTCATGTAATCACACACATAAAAATATTGGTGATATAAGTGGTGGGGAATTTACACATATTTATCATAGTTCATCATGCATTAATCATTCGGTCAGTGTCCGATATCTGTTTTAATTTTAAATCTCTTCCATCTGAAAACTCTTCGGCCTGTAACTTCTAAATTTTTATACTTAATGCTTCCTTGCTTAATCACTTATTGCTTAAATTTAACGAGAGTATAATTATTGATTAGATTGCGCTTAAAAATTTTTGGTAACTCGAAAAGTTTTAATATCACTTTATAGCACAGTAAAGAATGTGAAATTGGCTGTAATATATTTCTCAATTCATACTTTTTTCTTTTTACTAAATCTGTAAGTGTACATGATGAATCAGTATATGCTGTCAACTTTTTTTTTTTTGTTTTGGACGGTGTATTAAATCCAAACAAAGATCATTTGGCTAAAAATAGGTATCAATTATATTGTTTATCACAGGAACGAAGGCTACATACATATTATGTGAAATATTGTCAGAATAAGCCAAAATCAGACTTTCTGATGGCGCAGGATGATTTCGAGCAGGTATATTTTTATTTGTGAGAATTTTTTTTTATATTCATGCAATTACTCTATTATCAGCTTTATTGTTTCGTTATCTGTTAAGCAATTACATGTGACGCATGTTATCCTTTAAAATGCTCACAACGTTATCATTTTCTTCAGTTTACTCCTTGATTATTCTCTTCAGTTTACTCCTTTATTAGGAGTCTGAGGTTTTTGGTGAATGACTTGTAATAATATTTCATCGTGCTTGAATTGCTTGAATTATCCAGTCGTAATCTTCATGCTTGAAACAGCTTAAAATTGTTTTCTTGATGAGATGAATGTCTCATTTTTATTTTTTGCTCACTAAGTCATGCATTCACTTTATCTACAAAGAATTTAAACGGGAGTTCTTTTTTTGTTACAGCTAAACATTCAATTCGAAAATTTTAGTTTTTCGCCGAAACAAAGCAGAAACTGGGTCATAAGATAGCACTGTGTGATCTGTTAATCAAACCAGTGCAACGTATAATGAAATATCAGTTACTGATGAAGGATATTCTGAAATATACAGAAAGAGCAGGTGATCGAATGGAAGTGTTGGAAAAAGCTCTTCAGGTGTATTTATTTATGTAGACGAGGTCTCTATAAGCGCGAATACTGGTTTTCCCTTAGTTAACTTAAAATTAATAATAATTTCAATATTTTTCTCCTTTGGTACGAAGCAAGAGGTAGCTTAGTCAGGAAACCTTACATTCAGGTAAATGCTGGAAAGCAAAATCATTATTAATACTATTACCCTAATGTGTAACAACACTGTGGCGTATTTGTGACCATAGTGATAAAGTCGGACAAGGATCATGAATTTTGTTTTCCAGGTGATGCATGTAGTACCGAAAGCATGCGATGATATGATGCAAGTTGGCCGATTGCAAAATTTCGATGGGAATTTAAGTGCTCAAGGAAAATTGATATATCAGGTTCATCCATCTACGTTATCATTCTGAAAAATTAATGATATCCATGACCCCTCATTTGGCATAAAACGTTCTTTTTTGATAAATCTATGTAATTTTGAAGTAGAAAATATTAATTCATACTTATAATATATGTGATGACATAAACTGTGAAGATTTTCTCTTAAAACTGGAGGAATTTCAGGGAACAGTGGCAATCTCAGATAATGCACCATCACAGCCTTTCAAAGGGAAAGATAGGCGAATATTTTTGTTTGAGCAGTCTGCAATCATTGCCGATTGTATTTTGCCGAAGAAAGAATTTGGCAATCCTACATACATCTTCAAAAGTCAAATTATGATTAATAAGGTGAGTTTGCGTCAACTGTATGTGACAGTCTAAGTTTTTATTTTGTTCTTTATTGTTCATTCTTAACCTTAGTTCTAAATGAACGATTCTCTAAGATATATTGTGAACTCAAACAACAATTTTTCGAACCTAACTGAAAGGTCGAAGAATTTATTCGGGAATACATTTTTCTGTTTTTGATTTCAAACATTATGTTTCTGATTTATTTTTCATCATTTTGATAATTTGGGGGTGAAATTTTGATTGCAAATCATTATAGAACCCTTTTAGATTAAAAATTACTTGATATATTCCCTACATCATTGTAATGTATAATATTTCTGAAAAAGAAAAATTCATTTCCCTCGTTTTTCTTTGATGTTTTTTTCCACTCTCTCTCTCTGTTTGAGTATTAAACTGGAAGCAAATAACTGTTGATTCACAAATGATAAGATATTAAATGAAATGAGAGGAAAGAAATGCCATTTTAATAATTTTATTCTATCCTATAACGACATAGTATCTAGCATTAAGAAATACGAATTGAAACAGTTTATGGACTGGTTGTAACATAACGTATAACTTACGTAAGGAAAGAATTAACACTTGACGAGACACAATAAAGAAAGTGTAATAGAGGACTATTTTACAAAGTGTCGTAAATTCATCCCTTTTTGTTCCTCAAGTATATGCTTCATATCCGTGCTACCTAATATCACGATTGATTCTTTTGTTTTATCGGTGATATGTTAGCTATTTGTTTAATATTTATGGAAATAGATCAATAGCCTTCTTCATTTACTAATGATTTTTCATCTTTACCTTATAAGACGAAAATTAGAATCCCTAAACGTAGAAAATATAACATTTAAAAAAAAAAACGAAAATAATGATTTAATCACGTAAAAAAAAAAAAAAAAGAAGAAGTGGAGGAAAAGAAACGTGACAAACATGTTATTGAATTTTGCTTTCCTGAAAAATAAGGTACGACGGAGTAATTGGTTTTAGTTTGGAGGTAATATGCTGTACAGTTTGAATTTGTTGATTCTTGGTTTTGAATTTTCAGATTTCTCCTTTATTACATTATAGCCGTAGTGAGGAGATTAATGAAAGGAGAAAGAAATGGGTAATGAAGAAAAAGAAATAGGGATTTATTTTTTTTAAAACAGATTTTTTAACTTTTAAATCTGCAAAAGAGGCAAAGCTTTTGAAAGATTTATGGAAAGGATACTAAGCGATATTTATACAATATAAACATTCTTTATCACTTGCTATTAATTCAGTATCGAAATGTGTGAATATATTGTTAGGGAATGATTTAATCATCTGATTTCTCCTCACAAAAGATTTTAAAAAAACTGTGTAGTTATTTTTGAATTTTCGGGCTATCACATAGTGATTTCTTACTGCATAAATTACATTTCATGATATATTAAGGTAGAAATGTCGTGTATATCAATTTTCCCGATAATGTGGTTTCTTTCTTTTCGCTTAGTTCAAAAAGTTAACTACCCAATTTCAACTAATTTTTCGGCATTTCCTAGATTATATACTGATAGCTAAGGTTTTTTCTTCTAATGCATTTTGAACGTATCGGGTTGATGTAATATTTTGTCTTATGTAGTTAGATGTAAGAGGGATTAAACCAATTTTAAACTTTCCAATTTTTTCTTTTCAAAAATCTTGAAATATTGTCGACTTTTTCTACAGTTTTCTGGTAAAAATTGGTACTTTTTAAATTGGTATTTTTTCAGAATTGAATGACATTTGCTTTAATGCACTGCAAATTTGCTTTTTGTGTTTTTTCTCAATTATTTTAGTTTTACCCAGCATAAGTTATCAGTACCTTATATTTCTGTTTAATTTTAGATGGTATTGGAAGCAAATATTCCTGATGAACCGTTACGTTTCATCCTGAAAAGTAATGATCCGACACAACCGAATGCATTCTTAGCGCAAGCTAATACAGTAGAAGAAAAAGATCAATGGATTTCGAAAATAAACAGTCAACTGGATCAGCAGAAAACGCTTCTAGCAGCTTTGGTGGATCCTAAACGATATCAAAATCAACTTGCTGGAAGTGTCAGTTCATTGTCATTGTGAGGTTTTTTCTTCTTATTGAAATGTCAGTTTCTAAATGCTAACTCTGGTTGTTTTTTTTTCTTTTTCAACAACTAAATAGAAGTATACTGAAAGCTAAGAAAATCTATTGGTTTTCTATAAAGGCAATAAGCTACCTAACAACTTTAGAGATTTGCTAGATTTTCTGGCTCATTTTGAACGCACTCAGTTGATGTAAGCCGTTATATTCCATTTTCATACAGGGTGAAAAGTTTTAGCTTTTCTGTTCTGATGATTACTATATATTTTTGGTTAATACATTTGTAATGATGTATTTGGTACTCTTCGCTCAACATAACTTTCTTTTGCTATTTTAATATTTTCTGCTGAATTCTAGTTGTTTTGGTTCAATTTATTTGTCATTAGCTTATTTTCAATTTCAGGGAAGAAGTGGATAAGAAGAAGGCATTGTTTCCGCGATTAACGGGTAAAAATAAAGAAAGCAGTCACAGTTCTTCGGGTCCTTCATCTTCGATGCATCAGAATTCTAGCACCCAAGCACTGCCACCGAAGAGTAATTCATCGACAAAATCATCGAAGTTATTTGGTTTTGGGAAAAAAATGAATCCAGCAAGTAATAATAAATCTGCAGCAATAGGTAAATTAAAATGACGATGGTGCCAGAACAAATCAAAGAAGAGGAAGGAACAAAGAGTGAATGTTGTCATGAATTATCAAGATTTTATGGTTGATTGACTGTACCTTTATCATTTATACATTTTTTGCTAACAATTACTTGCCTTTTAGTCATATTTTCGTCCTTTGAAATTCAATCAACTTTTTAGATTATTCAGACAGCCTTTTGATAATAATTCCAGCAAGCTATTTGGGTTATTCAACAGGTTTTTCGAACTGTTCAGTTAACATTTTAAATTAACCCATTTGATTTTTTTTTCTGTTTTTATTTTGTTTTTCATTGTTCAAACTTTTTAGGATACTGAATTATCTTTTTTGATAAACGAGTTAATTTTTTGGATTTTTCTACGGCAGAAAAAACTGTTGGAAAACTGTTCATTTAGCTAGTAATGAGGCATAGTTTGTCAAAATTTGCAAAAGAAAGTTAAATTATAGTTTTTCATAGGCAAAAATTTTCCTACTGACAGAAACACGAGGGATTTGTCATTTGGGATGAGATGAGGCAGAAAAGTTCTTTTTTTTTGGCGATATGTAATGGCGATTAAATTGGAAACTTTTATTTTAAACATTTCCAGAAATCTTTGGGGAGAATTTTAGCTTCATTTTAGCTTTCATTTAAAGTGAACGATATTTTAACTATAAGTCCATGTTGAGGAGTAGGGAACTGTTACTTATGGAAATTTTGAAACTCCTTGGAACATTGTCCTTTGTATTTGTGCATGGCAGCTTCTTTTTTTTACTGATTTACTGGTTTCAATTTATTCGCATATCTTTCGAATAAATTTTCTTGTTATCGATGTTTATTATAAATAGCTGTTGTATATTAATGTCGTATTGATACAGTTTGGATGTTATCTTATCATTGCATAATCATAATCAGCTGACTGTTCATTTTAAAAGTTGCATGATAAGCAACAAAATTACAATGTCGAATGCAATGCACAGTACCTATTTCACGTTCCCCATTCAATTTTAGTATGTGTAAATTCACGTATGAAACATTTTGGTGCAAACTGTTGTCACTTTTACTTATTATTTCTTCCACGTTCCTTCGAAATTTGTAAGTGATGGAAATGTTTTGATGTTGTATTACAGAATTAATGCAAGATATGTGAAAAGGTATCTTGTTTGTTTATCATTCGATTCAAATTTGCTTTGCTTATATATATATATATATATATATATATATATATATTATTTATTTTATTTATTTATTA